GCTTACCCAAAGGGGTCGATGTTTCTTTTGCCATGGTATAATGTGGATTAACGTACTGCGTTTTCAATTTAGATCTAGGTTACCTGTAGAGTAAATCGCCCTGATTAAACATTTGGAAACTCTGCGTTCGGTTCCAAGTTCAATTCAGGCCTGTTAAATCTACAGGTCATCTTGGTCTAAATTGAAAACACAGTATGCTTATCTCATAATAAGATAAAATGATCATTGCAACGTACGGTGTTAAAATCTATGAAACGAAAGTTAACTGCACATAAAAGAATAACGACAAATGTGTAATAAGCTTTCTTTCAAGTCGAAATTTCATCGACGTTGCGGAATGCGTTTAGAAGAGGCATATATCATTGAATGTTATCAGCATTTAGATCAAGAAACTGTTTGTCAAAATTATACACCATGTCACTAGGCATGCAATAGAAGAAAACAGCTTGAAGACGTTTGTAAGTATTAAATTCAGCATGTTGGTGCAAATAATGAAGCTTGTTTACAAGGGCTATGGGTGTGCTTAAAAAAACGAATCACACTGAAATGGTTTTCCGACAACATGTGTTTGCGATATCTTCAGGGCCAGCTACGTTTCTATATATAAGTGACCCGTGAAGATCCGGGGTAGAATAGGTCCTCAGCAACCCATGCTTGCCGTAAAACGTGACTATGCTTGTCGTAAAAGGCGACTAACGGGATCGGGTGGTCAGGCTCGCTGAATTGGTTGATGCATGTCATCGATCCCAATTGCGTGGATCGATGCTCATGATATTAATCACTGGATTGTCTGGTCCAGACTCGATTATTTACAGACCGCCGTCATATAGCTGGAATATTGCTGAGTGCGGCGTTAAACAACAAACAAACAAAACAAAACTATTATATAAGTATACACTATGAGTCTGCAAAACATCAAATGATACTGATCTCAAATATTTGCCGAAACAAGTTCCATTGGGTGTAAAAGGGGAAACAATGGTGAAAACTATTTGAATTGATCACACCTCATGAAGTTTACAGTTGAAACAACTGAAACTAAACCACTGATCACCCTAAACGCTAAACATACGAAACACATACGACTATTTCAGAAACATACGCTGTCAGTGTTCTTTAATCACTGCTTTGGGGAATAAATTCAACACTGTCTTGGGAAATAATTTCAAATAATATATCAATGTTGAGTTGAACGAAAAGAGCACGATTGGCGCAAATAATCCACAGTCGAATGTTTTTATTTGAAGAGAAGAATATCTTTGTGGAAGGAACAACTTCCTCAGAAGTTCATTTCATATAAAAATGGAACAAAAGTTTTGAAGCCTCATTAGAAGGTGGGTCTCGTTGCAAGATACTGTCACGTTGTGCGACTTTGGCCTTGAGGTATCTATGAACTCCTCCAGCAATATCGACAAATGTCAATTACCACACCCACGACAAGACTCTTAAATCGAAGGAGAACACAATGACATATATTCTTACAAGAATTTCGAGAGGGTCCTCTAAAAGGCACATCACATAGTCCTATTTTGAGCTGTAAAAAGTCAGTTCCTTCTACATTCATCATATGTTTCCTGTCTCTGATTGAGGAGCATCCAGACCATCATCTACTTATATTGCACTGCATAATCCATGACTACTACACGAATGCAATGGCCATTTCCTTTAAAGATTCAGATGGCCTCCGTCATCTTCCTGAATTCATTGCTTCCAGTATTCGCTGGGTGATTTTACAGCATTATTATAAAACACCAATAATCAACATGACAATCGCACTGTGTTAAGACATGTCTTAAGACTATGTGCGTCTCTGACCAGCCCGTGCGTACCAGCAGTGTATTGTATGAGGTTACATACCACATTGAAAACCAGTCCTTAATGTGCTCGCCTCATTGAATAAGTGATTCATTATAGCTTGCATTGTCTCTGGGACTATTGTGCATAATTCCTATCTAATGTGTACATATTGGATGTCACGTTGTCACGTGTCTCCTATTTTATATCATAATAATAAGCATCGCTGATAATTTAGCGAATAGTGAATTTATGCCCTGGCAGGTTATTGTAGACACATCTTTCCTAACATTGAAACGCTTTCGATATCTAATAGAAATCTCTGCATAAAGCAGAATCGATTGTACGATTCCGACTATGGCATGAGCATGTGTTTATGAGTCACTATCAAATAGTAATGATACAAGGTGTTGGTGTCCTGCCCCACCGGTGGCACCCGCCACAAATACATGCAAAGACAAATTAATTATTCACCTAAAAAAGCACGGGAACACGTGGAGCAAGTCAAAATAGGGAATTAAATTTGCAAAAAACACAAAGTACAGATACTGTAAAAACTAGTCAATCTTAAAAAAAACTTATCAAGGCTCGTCTTAAAAAGATTGTGGTTAATGAAACCATTTTGTGAAAACAAGAACAAAAGAAATCTTTACACCAATTATGTTTAGGAAATGTGTCCGGCGATCAAAATTATTACATGTCGGTGTTATAAATAGAGGATTCATCACGAGTGTTTTTTAATATGGGAAATATCAACCGAGTCTTAGTTAATCGGTATTTGCCGAGCCTTTGGCGAGGCAAATACCGATTAACGGGACGAGGTTGATATTTCCCATATTAAAAAACACGAGTGATGAATTCTATTTATCATTTTCACATTTTTGCTTCCAAATTAAGGAATAATTGCATTAAACATTAACATCAGCAACTTGTCGAAATCTTACGTATAGATCGTGCGTAGTGATACATGTTTTCCATAGCCATGTAAACCAAAATAAACAATTCGCTGAGAAAAAAAGTTCCTCTGATTATTTTAAACAAAATACTTGAACAGACTTTTGCAGAATAATTGAAACTTTAATAACGGTAACAACAACGATTCTGTGTAATCTGATTATATCTCTGGTGTAACTTCACTTATAATATATAGTATCAAATCAAACCGCTCGCTCTTCCGGTTATCTAATTTGCATATCTAATTTGCATACTTATGTCATTGGGGTATGACATACATGTTTTTATGTCATAAGCTTATGTCATGGATAAATGCTTAAGTTAAATGATAAAAACATATGTTCAACGGTTCTGTTCATTCATGGGGAGTTTCTATGTGATTATCGTGGTCGAGTAGGAGGCGGTCAAAAGGAGGTCAGAACTTAATGAACATGCATCGTTTACACATCGTGACTAAATGGCCATTAATCAACGACATCCTTATCAATAATCGACCTGAGATGTCACCGAATGATTTATTATCTCGGTGAGCTGTTGGTCGGTCAGTCGTCGTTGCATGGAGTCCCCTACATTTGGGAATGTGTCTCTTGAATCAATGACCCTTATTGTAAGGAGGTCCAATAGTTATACACACGCGGTACCAGACACGCAAACGTTATATATTTTGTACACCAAAATAGATTGTTCTTTGGTCATGGGTGTCCTGAAAACAAAATGGGTTGTGGTAACTAACAGTAATGTTCAAATCCTCCTTTTAGAGACAACCATGTATCAAAATATCCTGAATATCGGTCATCAAAAACTACTTTTTCTCGGTCGGTATTTTGTAATAGTATGTCAGTCGTGTCATCGCGTGTCATGATCGGTTAAACATAGCCGGAAAAGGTTATAGATGTTGACCAGTTATATTTTCGACAGGCAAGGATAATGAGCCCGCATTCAATGGATCCAGTCGGCTATGAGAGAGAGAGAGAGAGAGAGAGAGAGAGAGAGAGAGAGAGAGAGAGAGCACAGTTACACTTCTAGACCGCCTATGTCCCATCAAGAAATGGATAGTAAAGACAGTAGATTTCGCGAACACCTGGTTTCATTTCTATTTGATAGTGATTCATAAACACACGATTTCTCATGATTATGGATAAGGTTTTAAGCTTTTAACTATTAAAAAACCCATTATTGTTGGCATCATATAACAGTACCCCGACCTTTCTCCAAATGGTATTGATTGTATACAAATCCGATTCAGCATTCATAAAACTGTATATAAGTGTGGGTTTGAGAAACATAAAGCGTATTTTGAAGAGAATAAATAGAAGCGACAAAACCTTTCCCATAGCCACAAGAAATCTCATCACTTGAACAACAAGCCGTTGACATCAACAATGTCGTTGATTTTTGCCAATTCAAACTTTAGTTTCATTTGACATTTACTCAGTGTTTTGTATAGCTCGCGGTATGGCAATTACACACATCATCAGCGTGTTGCAAGGAACACACTACCATAGACCGAGCAGCCATGGCATATTGGATGGACAAATCTTGCAAGGGACACACTACCATAGACCTAGCAACCATGGCATATTGGATGGACAAATCTTGCAAGGGACACACTACCATAGACCTAGCAACCATGGCAAATTGGATGGACAAATCTTGCAAGGAACACACTACCATAGACCAAGCAGCCATTGCATATTAGATGTACATGTCTTGCAAGGTACACACCACAATAGACCGAGCAGCCATGGCATATTGGATGGACAAATCTTGCAAGGGACACACTACCATAGACCTAGCAACCATGGCATATTGGATGGACAAATCTTGCAAGGGACACACTACCATAGACCTAGCAACCATGGCATATTGGATGGACAAATCTTGCAAGGGACACACTACCATAGACCTAGCAACCATGGCAAATTGGATGGACAAATCTTGCAAGGAACACACTACCATAGACCAAGCAGCCATTGCATATTAGATGTACATGTCTTGCAAGGTACACACCACAATAGACCTAGCAGCCATGGCATATTGGATGTACATGTCTTGCAAGGAACACACTACGATAGACCTAGCAGCCATGGCATATTGGATGTACATGTCTTGCAAAGAACACACTACGATGGATATACATGTCTTGCAAGGAACACACCACGATAGACCAAGCAGCCATGGCTTATTGGATGTACATGTCTTGCAAGGAACAAACCACGATATACCTAGCAGCCATGGCATATTGGATATACATGTCTTGCAAGGAACACACCACGATAGACCTAGCAGCCATGGCATATTGGATGTACATGTCTTGCAAGGAACACACCACGATAGACCTAGCAGCCATGGCATATTGGATGTACATGTCGTGCAAGGAACACACCACGATAGACCTAGAAGCCATGGCATATTGGATGTACATGTCTTGCAAGGAACACACGACGATAGACCTAGCAGCCATGGCATACTGGAAGCAGATGTCTTGCAAGGTACACACCACGATAGACCAAGCAGCCATGGCATATTGGATGTACATGTCTTGCAAGGTACACACCACGATAGACCAAGCAGCCATGGCATATTGGATGTACAAATCTTGCAAGGCACACACCACGATAGACCTAGCAGCCATGGCATATTGGATGTACATGTCTCGCAAGGAACACACGACGATAGACCTAGCAGCCATGGCATATTGGATGTACATGTCTCGCAAGGAACACACGACGATAGACCTAGTAGACACGGCATATTGAATGTACATGTCTCGCAAGGAACACACCACGATAGACCTAGCAGCCATGGCATATTGGATGTACATGTCTTGCAAGGAACACACTACGACAGACCTAACAGCCATGGCATATTGGATGTACAAGTCTTGCAAGGAACACACTACGATAGACCAAGCAGCCATGGCATATTGGATGTACATGTCTTGCAAGGAACACACGAAGATAGACCTAGCAGCCATGACTTATTGGATGTACATGTCTTGCAAGGAACACACTACGATAGACCTAGCTGCCATGGCATATTGGATGTACATGTCTTGCAAGGAACACACGACGATAGACCTAGCAGCCATGGCATATTGGATGTACGGACTGATGCCGATTTATAGTGCTAGCTCACTGGGATACCATGCCGCAGTTTAACATGAATACCCCACTCAGACACAGTATACTGACTCCGAGCCGACCAGTCCTTGTTTTAGCCCCTTAATGACAGACAGGGTAAGAACAAGTACCATCTTTTAACGTCTTTTGGTATGACGCGGTCGGGGATCGAACCCCGGACCTTCCGCTCTCCGGGCGGATGCTCTACCACTAGACCACGCTGGCGGTCTTTATGTAGATGAGTCATGTAGATGCATGTCATGCTTAGCGATGAAATGTGCTTCCAATATTTTTATTTGATAGTTTCTAAAGTGCATATCAGTTCATCCATCAAAGGCAAATATGTACTAATGACTTCGTCGAAGATAAAAATTAAACTTGTTGAAAATGCGTAGGAATACACATTATGTATACAATGTCCAAACGAGTGTATGTCACAATATTATTGATGTGCAGTTACAGATATTGCGAAAGACTGAAACATGATCCCCTTGTAATTGCTTGTTCGACTTATTTTAGTATCTATCTGGTTGTATTGTGGTGCAGCAGCTGTGTGGGCGTTATAACGTCTTCATGAGTGAATCATTCAACATGAACCTAACGCTCCAACGACTGAATCCGATACCTATATCCCTCTGGATAGTGAGTGTTTTTGTGACGCACATTTTCCTAAAATCTGAAAAGCGAACGTTGTGCAAGAATTGCGCTCACGCGGCACTGGAACTATCTCCGGTTATAAATTTACGCAGATATGTTGAACATTAAATTTCCGATCTGATGGTGTAAATTTAACTGAAGTGTAAATATTAAACCGCTTTGAAAAAAGACACTGCTTCGTGTTGTCCGAGAAATTTCTCCGCTTTTTATCGTGTTTTATTTAGTAGCTTCACGCAAACTTTGAGCAAACAAAATACTGCCTGATATCTGGACGACATAAATGTATATCAAATGGAATCGTATGTATAACGACATAAATGAAATGCAAAAAATAGCCTGCCGTAAATGACGACAACTGATTTACCTCAATGACGTCAAAAGGCGACAGAGAGATTGCACACGTAGTTTATTGTAACTCAGGTCACTTGGTGAGAATTAGCTGTGGGTAAGGTCAATATATTTCTGTGGTGTTTTGTTCACGAGGAACCAAACTATTCCAACACAAATATCGATATTGAAACTGTATACGTTTAGGCATAAAAACACAATAAGAAATGATGAAATTGTACTTCATAAAAAAATAAGTAATAAGGAAATTGATGGCTCATATAACCTATAAATTAGTCCTTAGATTCCAACGTTCTCCTGATTGTGTAAGTGTAATTTGACTTATGTTGCACCATTATTAATTGAGCACGAGCCGTATCATCAAATGTAATGAACAACTAAAAGATTGACACCATTCTATTTGACGTCATGGCTGTTTTTATGTCTTTGACAACGTCGGAGAAAGACGACACTGGTATTTTGATTAATACGTACCTCCCCGTATTTTCTATCAATGGTATGGAAAAAGTCGATGTGTAAAACGGAATTTGACGCTTTTTCGACACAACATAAAATGACTGCGTTCACCATGTGAATTATGTCTTGAATAGATCAACATTCAATACTTTACAGTGTGGACAAGACACGAACCTGTTTGACATCAATTTTACGTAATCAAGTACTCAAAAGAATATTTAAAAAAAAAAAAAATTATATTCAATATTGAACATGTAATTGTTCATTATTATGTAATTATTTCTCTTCATCTTGTCTCAAAATTATACAATAAAAGATGGGAAGAAAGCTATATTGGTATAGAATTATCAGGATAATCGTATAAGGATAATCGTCCACCAACGCATTCTACAGTTCAATTTAGGTTTCATCAGTCGGATAAACATTTTTTTCTTTTCTTCTCTGCTGCTTATTACTAGAATACAATTTTTAAAACGGAAAAATAATAAATTCCCGTTTCCGCAATCATCAATGTGTTTGCTGACACACATATGCGTCTGGGATGATTTTGTGTTCAGCACTGTACTTATGTCTGGCCATCATTTTCGGGATCTACACGGTTAAATATATTTAAAAAATGTCGTAAGTATGTATCTGCTTAGCTTGTACTTAGCCACGTACTAGCACGTACAACCTTCTTGTTACTTCAGCGAGGAGATAGTGTTGCTAATTGCACTCAGTATTGGACCATACTTTCTATTTCATGAGCGGAAGCAAAATAGTCGGAATTTTATCAGATTGATTCCTCATAAGCGCATAACCATATTAGTACTAACCTAGATCTGACGCGTTGACCATGGGAGATAATGCACAGATCTGGTCACGCTTGGCACACACATACGTCTTTGTCCACTCCATCACTGTGTACACTGGGGCAGTGATGTTGGCAATTACAGCCAGCTTATCCCTACAAGAATAGAATTTCCCCGAGTGTCAATAACAGGAAATTATTGCCTTGGGGTCTAATTAATGACCATTACTTCCTAGTAATGGATGCGTTCATGCCCATTGTCTTACGTGTATCGAGGCATTGACCATGATATTGACACGAGCTGTGAAGGGAGGCTTATAAGACCTCCAGAATTTTCAGTGACTACATGTGTTATGAGAGATTTTCTGTATGGAAAACAACCGTCAACGCCAGAGAATTGCAATTCTCCCTGAGTTGAATGATAAGCCTAACCAGCCTGACTGTGCCAGGATCACCCAAATCCTCTTTGCTGCATTTTGTATTTTGATCTGTAAATAATAATAATAATAATAATAATAATAACAACAACCGTCAATGTGTGATTTTGCATCAAAATGTAAATATGAAATGTAGATTATGTGATAAATTTAATGAGACTGTCCAACACATTGTGAGTGGATGCCCAGCTTTGGCACAGACACACTATCTTAAGCGACATGATGGGGTGGCTCGATCATTTTATTACCGTCTTCGCCATGCTTGTGGTTTTGACACAGAGGTCCACGCATGGTACGACCCGGAATATGTAGAGGGCGTCATGGAAAATGATAAATACAAAATTCTTTGGAATAGGCCCATTTACAGCCTTAGACGTTTTCAGGCCAACAAACCTGATCTTGTCCTTTTCGATAAATTCATTGAAATCATTTATAGCATTGAATTTTCTGTCCCCATTGACATTAATGTAATTGACAAGATTGAGGAAAAACATGGCATATATGCGGACCTCGCTTTCGAAATGACACGTTTGCATCCCAAGTACCAAGTTGCCCGATTCCCCATTGTTCTCGGTGCCTTAGGTTTGATACCTCCCAATCTCTTGACTGACATTGGGAGAGTTCCCGGGTTTGCTGCCAGGAATACAGCCCTTCTGACAATCTGGGTAATGCAGAAGGCTGCAGTATGGGGGAGTCTTCACATTCTCCGAAAGGTTCTTGGTGAGTTGACAAGGCAGCGCTTCCTGGGAGAAGTTCCATTCATTGTCTGGGCTGCGTGTAGAGGGGGCAAGGGCCCTGAGCTGATGATGAGCCCAACCAGCCTGACTATGCCAGAATCACCCAAACCCTCTTTGCTGCATTTTTTATTTTAATCTGTAAATAATAATAATAATAATAATAATAATAATAAATGTGTTCATTGTATCGCAGCAGATGTTGCCCAGTATGGACATAAAGCATCTGTGAGGAATTTATATGTTTTAGTTTAATAGACAGATAATATTAAAGGGAATTAGTATAATAGTATTCGAGAAGGATATTGTTTCTTTGGTTTAAGGCCCGGATTACAACAGGGTGTCATCTCCATCAAATGAAGCCAAAAGTCCCAGAGAAAGGGGAGTTGGATGCTAGCGACGCTGTTTCCATACACCTCCTTTGCTGCAGTACTTGTATGTGAGTGAGGTGGCTTAACGCCCCTTTTAGCAATATTCCAGCAATATCACAGCGAGGGACACCAGAAATGGGCTTCACACTTTATACCCATTTGGGTAATCGAACCCGGGCCTTCGGCGTAACGAGCCAACGCTTTTAACCACTCGGCTACCCCGCCGCCCCTTAAGGTACTTGTAAATGAGTTGTGTACATGGGTGTATTTAGTGGATAAACACCTTCTCATATGTGAGGGCCAGGAGACTTATAATAAAGGGTGGGGCGGTTTAACTAATTTTGTAACTTGAGGCTAAAAACATTCACGAGTTTAAAAGATTAATATTGCCAGCGTTGAAATATCTGCAGCTTAAACGGAAATTAAAACATGAAATAAATGTCTTGATGACAACGCATGAGCAACTACTCTCAGCGTGTTAATATTCCCATCACCAGCAGCAACGTTAATTAATTGCATAACCAAACCAACAAGCTCATAAATTCATTATTTGAGATAGATGTATGGATGGTTCACAAAGTCTGTGGTATTTTTCATCATGTATATATCAATCACGTGGAGAGTGTTTGGAGATAATTGGTTAGCACCGTCCCCTTCTGACATTACCCTGAAATAACTGGAACTACACTCCATTTGCGTTGAGGCATAATTAGTTCCATGTTTGGTAACTCGCTTCATTATAGCTTATTCCCTCCCACAGCAGATCTTGATACAATACTGGACGGACCTTTATGGATGCACCGAAGGGACGTTAGTCTGTCAGATAGTGACGAATGATAGTTGA